CTATCATTTATCTAACAATCTGTTCCACCCACATATATCACATATTACACATCCTGGATTTACATTATCATCACAGCACATTTTATGCATTGTCCTTTGATTCTTTTCTTTATAACATCAGAGACACTGAACACATCAGAGAGACAGCGGTTTGTCGGCCCGTAAGAAAAGTGTCTCTGGCTCTGAAAAGACTTTGGACCCTTGTTGTGGTTTTCCGTGGACATAAATCAGGGAACAAAACCCAAAAAATAATGTTTAAAAAAAGAACTGCAGGTTTGTCAGTGTTAATGAGAAATGAATCTACGTGGACACATGATGCAGTGATTCATGAATACTTTTCATATATTCAAAGACTCTGCGGTTCAAATATATGAACACTGTTAAGATAGAAACATGTTTCTGTATGTTAGACACATGACCTCATCACATGACATCACCTCACATTACCTATTAACTCTACAGTCTGTTCCCATCACACCTCACGATGTTCAGCTGCAGCTGACGCAAGAGATTTGTTTCATGTCTTCAGTTGGGATGAAAGAAGTTCTGCTTCCTGTCTCTGAGAATCATGTTATCTGCACTCTACTGATGATGTCTTTATAAGCTCACCCTGAACACGCTTCCCTCAGGCTGATTGAACTGATTGTGATCAGCTGTTCTGTTTCTCAGCTCAGGCTCAGAGTTTGTTAACCCTGATCCTGATCTCTGTCTCTGCAGGGATCCATCCCATAATGTTGTCACACACTGAGAGCCTGCAGTTGTACTGCAGTGGTCCCGTGTTGTCTCTGTCCAGGAGGATCGCCGTGGACGCCTCCAAGACAGTGTCATCCACCGCCGCACCAGCTTCTTCCACGTGAAGCGCTCCAACATCTGGCTGGCAGCCGTCACTCAGCGGAACATCGACACCACCATGGTGTTCCAGTTCTTCTACAAGATGTGTGACGTCATGTCCGCTTAGCAAGGAGAACGTCGAGAACAACTTCGTCAGACGGTAAACTTTTACTTTGAAAGGGAGGGACAGGAAGCTGTGACAGATCAAAGGTCAGGTGTTTAAACTCCAACAGGAAGTGGTCCCTCCGCCACGTGACACCACCGTCTTTCTGCCGCTCTGTGGTTTTTTTAGGTTTTGATTTTTGTAAGCGTTGGATGAGAAAATCAAAACCTAAAGAAAATACAGTGCCGACGGGAGCCGACGCCAAGCTGCTGTTTGTTTGTTTGTTTGTTTGTTTGTTTGTGTGTGTCCTGCAGTTACCCTCAGAGCTCAGAGACCTGAGCTCATCATCATCATCATCATCAGTTCAGTTACCTGACACTGTTAACAGGAGATGTGACATCATGACTGACAGCAGTGTGAGCCAATCGGAGGGCTGCTCACTAGTGGTCGGACAGGTGTGTCGGCGGGGCCTCTACTGCACAGATTCTGGCTCCAAATGACCAGAATCACCACCAGAGCAAGATGGCGGTGGCCATGTCCAAAGTTTGGCTTCATTGTGGGGACAAAATGGAGACATGTCGGCCATCTTTATTTACAGTCTGTGATGTCACAGCGATGTGTCAACCTCACCGCCGAATCAGAGACTCACACTGTCCTGCGGTCCTCCTAAATAAACAGAACTGTTAACGTTCATATTTCTCCAATATGGCGGTGACATTGACGTCCGATCCAGCAGCCAATCAGACGTTTGTCTCCGCCCACAGACCAAAGAGGAGTAGTCTCAGATCACCTGTCAGGTGATGGGTCAGATTGGCTGGAGGCGGGAAGAAATCAAGGACAGACGGAACAAGCTCCTCCTGGATGTGTTGGAGAGCGTCAACCTGTTCCTGTCCCCGCAAGGTAACTGTCCTCACACATGTCAACCTGTTCCTGTCCCCGCAAGGTAACTGTCCTCACACATGTCAACTGCTCCTGTCTCTGCAAGGTAACTGTCCTCACACATGTCAACCTGTTCCTGTCCCCGCAAGGTAACTGTCCTCACACATGTCAACTGCTCCTGTCTCTGCAAGGTAACTGTCCTCACACATGTCAACTGCTCCTGTCCCCGCAAGGTAACTGTCCTCACACATGTCAACTGCTCCTGTCCCCGCAAGGTAACTGTCCTCACACATGTCAACTGCTCCTGTCTCCGCAAGGTAACTGTCCTCACACATGTCAACTGCTCCTGTC